CTGGAAGGACACCACCATTGAAAACAATGGTAGTTAATGCGATCCTGGTAGTTAAGAAACATTTATGCTCAACGGGACTTGGTACTTAACATGCATTTCAGAAGGAGGGAGCTGGATCCTGGTGTTTTCACGTTCGGTTAATATGTTGAGACGTATTGACACCGAATATCGGGGGCACGGAGAGGGTAATCTGGATCTAGAAGGGGAGGCTCACGTAGGGCTGGATTTCCACCGACTGCTCCTCCAGTGACACCACAGACCCGCTTCATTTCTGTGCAGCTGATGCCCTGTCCAGGCTTATATTTTTCTAACTGACAGTGAGTGTTCTTGCCAAATGCCAGGGCCCATAGTCACATCTGTTTGTCTCCCCTCTGCAGCTTGTCTGAGGCTGCTTGGGAACACATTTTATCCAGGGGGCAGCTTTAACTAGGCCTAATTCTCTGAAAAGCCTCTGTTTGTAAATGCGCGCGTACAGGGAGGAGGCAAGTTCCTGTTTTCTTCTCTTTAATGTTATTGCGTTTGACACTGCCTGCTTCACCCTTGTCAGCCCGTGTCGGGAGCCCAGTTCTCAGGCGAGGTGGTAGGATTTTTTGTCTTTCTCTGTTTTGTTTTGCTTTGTTTTTTGGTTTTTTATTATTATCTTTTTTTTTAACTTTTTTCCCCCTAGATAAAATGCTCTGTTTCCTACCACCGCATCATTTAAAGATGATGGAATAAACCAAGCAAAGTCTGTTTCAAAAGCAGAACAAAATGATTTCATTTTGAGCTCTGCTTTCTATTTATATTTAAGGGGAAAATTCTCAGAATCAGTACATGGGAAGCGATGTTTCAAATCATAACTAAGTGACAATGCTTATCACTCCCTAAGGAAACAGCATTATTTCTTTATCCTCCCCAGTGAAAGATGCGTGTATATTTATCCCTGGTATTTTAAGGTGTCAGTAGTTATAAAGGGATCAGGTTTTGACTTTCTCTCCTTTTCTTCATCCAAGCACATGCTGTAACTGAAATAAGTAGACTGATAGCGTTATTGGTGGTTTCCTTACAGTTACCGAAGGATCTTAACAAGTTTTTAATAGCGTCGGGTCTGTTTCAGGACAGTGTAGTGTCGTTCTTCAGAACACCGCACCACACACACAAAAAAGAACAGAAAACCAAAATTGCCATCTCTCAGCTTGAATAATATTCCAAGTGTTCTGCTTTGCAAAGACCAGTGACTCATTTAGACCAAAGCACCTAGGCTGCCTTTGAGACATTCATTGATTTTAAATTAAAAAATAACTGCTCTGTTTTACATTAAGAGTGACAACTAAATAACAGAGTAGACCTTATTTAAGTTATTTGTAGCAACTCCACTGCACCTGTCTGAAGGGAAGGGGGGAGGACACTTAAATGAGGTAATCTTACTGATCAATAATCCAGATCTCTCGATGCGCTGTAGCAGATGGTCAATTCTTGATAGAATTACTGAAATACAGCTCGCTGTTTTTCTTACGGCTCGGGTCTTTGGGTTCAGGGTACTGACTTTATTAACTTTAACTTTATTCTCCTTGAACGTTTGTCTCTTTTTCCTTTAATGTAGCTATGTTTGGGAGGGGGAGGGAAGTTGAATAAAAACGTTATATTCTACTTGTTCTGTAAAGGTAGCCAGAAGGGAGTTTTCAGCCCTGCAGATGAGAAAAAGGTTTAGAAGGAGGAGTTGTTCTTGGATTTTGTTTTTCACCATCTTTGTAAACAGGCCTTCCTCATAAATTTTAATAGCATACAAAATTAATAAAGTTTTAAAGGCAATATTGACTTGGGAGAGTGACTTTTCAAGCAGTGAGAAGCCTCCGGTTTCATACAACTAGTACAAAGATGATGTAGAAACCAGCCATGTTAATTAATAGTCATCACTGGGCAGCTCCTATGTGTTGGACCCTCAAATACTTCTAATTATTTCCAAAAAGGAACTTCTTAAGAAGGATGCTCCTGGCTACCTTTTTTTAAAGCTTAGTTTGAACTTTAAATAAATCTAAAAGTAATAAAGACTGGCTTAGTTTTTAAAATAATCCAGAGTTAGGACTTTTCACTGACTGCCTTCTCACCCCTGCCCACCTCCTCACTCAGATATGTTAACACAGAGCAGTTTCATTGCGTGGCATTTTTGTATTATTCCTAATTATAATAGTGAAAAATAAACTGGGAGGAACTGTGTGTCTGGACTGTTCACAAACCTAGTTACCCTCTCAACACCAGCTCATCTGCATCCCATGAATCTGCCCAACTTTAGTCTGCTAAATGACCTTGAATGCCTCCACATCAGATATGAACTCCAAATCCTTCATGGGGCGTATGTGGTCCAGCCCCAGTGTTCTTCTTCCATCATATTATACAGTTCTTTCTGTAAACAGTGCTTCCCAGACATCCTGAACTACTCAAAAGTCTTTGAACGGAACAAACTCTATCATTTAGAAATACTTTCAGCAACAGATATAGAAAACCTGACCAGCAGTGGCTTAATCTAAGAATATAGATTATGTTATAACAAGAGGATCAGAAGCAGATAGTCCGTGGATTGGTTTTCACAGCTCGACGCCAGAAGAGCCACACTGCAGAATTCAGATTCCTACCTCATTCCCCTTTTCAGAATGTTACCTTCCCCTCCTCCTCAGCTAGTTCTGGTATCTGAGCCTGTCTGGCAGATGCTCTGGCGGAGGTAAACTACTCCAGCCTTTTCCTAGGGGGAGGTTTCAAGAGGGATCAGAGATATTAAAGGATAATTTTGTACCAAAGGGTAAAGTCGTGTCTCTTTTACTTATGTAAAATGAATGTGTGTGTGAGATTTTATTTAACTCATTGATTAATGAGGGAACCAGGCAGATGTTATAATGGGTTCAAAGAAGCACAAATGTATATGGAGTAAAAGATATTGAATGAATGTGCAGGTGGATGCAAACTGGGTTTTCCATAGAAGGGAGGATCCTCCTTCCTCAGGACAGAATCCATTTGGATTACAATAGACAATTATTCCCACTGCTTTCAGATCTCTGTAAGAATTGTCAGATAGCTCCCGTAGAAGCAGAATCAGGTGACTAAGGAGCCATACTCTAGAAGTATGATTTTCCATGGAAGCACAGATTTTTCCCTACAAAGAAAAATGGTATATTCAATAAACATGCTTAGGATTGTTATAAGGACGGAATTATGTAATCTCTAGTAATAGATTATAAAGTTCATGGTGCCGGCCATTACCACTGCTGTCCCTGATTATTTCATGTACTTACGACTTAATCTCCCCATTTGGACTTAAAACTCTTCCAGTAATAAAAATTGAAGATTCCATTTCCTTTGTATCTGCCGTCTCCTTTTTCCTACTCTCCTCATTTGCACCATCACTGTGGGGTCTCATGCTTAATCAGTAGTAGATACTAGTAAGTGCTTGCTGAATAAGTGAATTTATTAATTTTTATAAAAAAGATGTGTTTTATAAAAAGGATGAGATTTAATTTTTTTTTAATTTCTATGTAGTTTTTTAGAAAAATCGATGTGTAACCATTTATGTTTTCTTGGCATTATAAACCAAGACTGCACCTCAAAATCCAATAAAAATGTTATAGTCATGCATGTTAATAAACATTTTGACATAGATATGTGTACGTATTTGTGCAAAGTTAGTCATTTATTGAATGAACTAATTTTTTAAATATTTTAATAATAATAAAGATTTATTCTGTAAAAGAGAAACAGTATGCACTCAATACAAAGAGAAGAGAACTAGACAAAACTCGTTTGCTTTTACCAATGTTGATAGATTTTCACAGTATATTTCTTTGGTTATATATACTTCTTGGATTAGCCAGATCATTAATTTTACTTTACTTTGTACATTATAGAAAGAATCTATATTTAAAGTAATTTTACTACCCAGCTCCAATTTTTTATTATATTTAAACACCTAAGTATAAGTGTGTAAGTATATATTTTGAGTTTTACTTGAATTAATTTTTTCTTTTAAATTTTTCTCTAATAATCTTATTGTTCTGAAATTGGGTTCTATAAAACTTCAGGATATTACCAAACATCTCCATGAATTACTAAAAAAATAATGCTTTCTAATAAACATGCTTTGTTTATTTCTGCTTCGTGATCCCGGGACACTATCCCAACCCCATCTCAGGGATTATGATCCAGGCAATGAAGACAACAGTCTTCTATAGCTTGAAAAATTTGAAGATTTTTAAATCTCTTCCATCTTCTTCAGTTTGTCTTGATTTCCAGTTGACCCATTTCTAATTTTTCCAGAACTCTTAAATTTCAGGGTCCATGATTAGACAGAACAATCCAATTCTGACTAGCTTCAAAATTAGCAGATCTGCTTCTCAGTTCTTATACATCATGTCTTTGAAATGTTATCCTATATCATGTTGCCCCGTTTAGTATCAGTAGAGCAGCATTAATGCAGTCAAATTATGTTTCCTCACCTAGCTAATACATAATTAACTAAAGAGTTCTAATCATGTGAATTATAAGGAAGAACATCACTATTTCCTTCTATTTTTAAATGTTCCGAGAGAATTCACTGCCGCGTAATATCCTGAAAGAAATTGATCATACTTTTCCTGTAATATATGTTGTTCTGACAGTAAAGCATTAGTAACCAATTGATACCTAGCAACAATATTGTGATCTCTTTAGATAATTAATCTTAGCTATTTTCCTGTCAGAAGCAACAGTGCTTGATTTTATGTTGAGCCAGAAAGATTGCCAGTTTTGAAAATTAAAAAGCATTCCTTTTATATTATTCATTCCAGTAACAATTTATGATGGCACATTTAGCTGCTGAACGCTTGTCAACAAACGTAATTATGTTTCGATATAAACAAGATTGGTGGTTTTACTATGCCGCTCCATCTTTGTTGAGAATGTTTTGATTTAGGTTCAGATTATACAAGCTGTGTATTTATGTGTCATTTTTTTCCCCTCCTTTGTTAATAGTTTTTTCTGATAATTACTTGTAGGCAAACAAGCATGCACTTAGGATCCCTATGCACAGGAGATATCAAACGGAGAAGAAAAGCTGCACCTTTGCCTGGACCTACTACCACAGGTAAAAGACAAGGGCTCGGGGCAGAGCACACCTACAAAGTTCATAAAGCATCCAGAGTAAAATGCGGATAATCCTTAATCACTTGCACTGAGGACGAGGCACAGTGCCAAGAAACTAAAAAAGCAGATCATCTGCCTTCGGTGTCTGGATGTGTTGTATGTTCCTTGTGTAGGTTTTTCAGGCAGCAATCACAAAAGTATCTCCTACACACCTGCCCAAATGCAAGACTTTGTATAGGTCTTAAAGGATACAAAAACCTCAAAGGTGGTGTTTTTGGCCTCAAGAAAGTTACAGACTTGTTGGGAAAACAAGGCATAAGTAGATGAAAAGGTAAATCACCCCAGAAGAGACAAATACTAAAGAATTCGAAAGTACTGAAGCAGCCTCAAAACCCAAGGCCCATGTTGTAGCAGGCGGCCACCTGGCCATGAATGTGGCCATCTGATTTCCAGTCCCAGGTGTGCAGCAATCTGAGATCCATCTTTCCTGACTTAGACAGGTTAGCATTAGACTAAAAAAATTTGCATCATTTCCACCTCAAAAGCCACATCATTCTAATAGCATGTCATTCTACTGAGCATGGTCCAGGGAAAACCACAAGTGCTGAGCACAGAGAGGTCGTTATACCAGAGGGGACAGGAAGCCTTCCTACAGTTGGTAATGAATGATATGAATAAGATTAGCATGCATTGCAAAATCTCATGCAGGAGCAGTGTTGTAAGGGAGGTAGAAATAAAAACCTGTGATTGGATGGAGCCAACTGGGCATTAAAATGTAGACACCCAAATAGGAATAAACAACAATTAACTGTAATGGGTTTGTGATGCCGCAAACTATGAGCAAATGTTTTCTGTGTAGATACTTGATCAGTTACAATGTTGCTATTATAACATTGGCTTATTGCCTGGGATCCTTAACCATTCAAATTTATAAATGGTCTCTCTTAACTTCATTTGGGAAATGTTTTATAGAAAGAGTGATTTTTTTTCCATGATTAATTATAGAATAGGAAAATAAGATTCATATCAACGGGAGAGTAAGCAGTGAGAAGGGAAGGAAATACAGAGAGATACAGATATATGTAGATACATAGGTATTTCTTGACATGATGATTTCAAAGGAAATAAAAGATGTGAAGCTTAAATTCTCTATTTAGGAGACCTATCCCTAATAGTTCAGCACTGGAAAAATTAAAGAATAACTTAAAATTGGAGCACCCATAATACAGTTGCTCCATCCACATAAAGTGCTACATTATGAAATTCTGCGTGTAGTTGTAAATGTAACATCTGATCTTCATCCTCAACTTTGTTGAATTTTCAGAATTTGGAAGTAGGAAACACCTGTGTGCAGAATGTGTTTGTATTTATGTAGAATAATATTTACCACTTAATAGCGTACCTGCTGTGTACCAGAACTTTATTATTTGATTTTATCTTTGCAGCAACTTGATAACATAGGTGTTATTATCACCACTTTGCCCACAAAATGAAGTTCGGAGTGTTAGGTTCTTCTTAGCTACCCAAGAGGACATAATGATTAAAGGCCAAAGGGAGGATTCAAGCCGACAGCTGCATGACTCCTAAACCCATGTTCTTTTCATGACAACATACTTATGGCCTTTCTGTAAGAATATATATGTAAAGACCATCTTATTCCATATGTTTTATGCAATCATATATATGGATATAGACTATTATGCAGTTTATATAATTTGTTTATATTTATACAGACTATTATATATCTTAAGTGCCTTAGAAGATGTATCTAAATTTGCTGTGCAGAAATACAGAACATGCATCAGAGGACTTCAAATATATCTCTTCTTACAGGAACATAGAGCCACTTTTAGATCGAATACATGTCATAAGTTCTTCAATTTAAATCTTTCACAAGGCAAGTGTAGGACTCTTTAATATTCCCATTCCGGTTGAATGGTCCCCTGAATTCTCTTATCTTTCAATGATTCAAACACTGGTGGCAGAAATAGTACAAGAACAATCTTGGGAATGTGACTGAAGTGCCTCAGAGCCAGCAATAAGGAAGAGAGAGTGTCCGGGTCAGGTCCGAACACTCTGCACATATGTGAAGTGAGGAGGAAAATGCCTAATGGTTGGGGAGAGGATAATATAATTATTTCTACAAGGTGATTTCGATGTTACAACTCAGTAGCATCAGAGGAAGTCATTTATACGGAATGTGGGTATAAACATTAAACTTTAGCCTAAAACATTCATAATCTCACGGCAGCGTATTCCGGCTGGGATATTTCAGAACTGTTGTGCTTCCCATAAGACTCAAGATTTTGATTATATTACTGGACTTTTTACTTAAAAGGATATAATTCATAGAAATTTAATGCATTTTTGTAATTACTCAAATAGTATTGGAGTAGGAGACTTATATTACTCATTTTCCGCGCATTTTTTTAAATCCGCACATAACTGTTCCTCTCAGAGAGGAAGAGAATGAGGTTATTTAAAAGTCCTCAGTTTTAAAGAGTATCTTCTAAAACTAATGAACTCTAAGGTGAAGATTATCATCCAAATACAAGACTCAAGTCAGAAATGCTTTTGCATAAATAAACTTTGATAATGAGGTTATGAATCCTAGATCATCTTGTCTCTGAAAATTACGGTTTTCAAATTCTGGAATATAGTCAGTCACATAACAAAGAGTCTTATATTTGCAAGCTTCTGAACTTGAGTTAGCCTGTAGAATTAAAGAAACTATTCTGGCTATTTTAGAGGCCCTTGCAGGCTTCCTTAAAAAACACACATTAAATTAAAATATATTTTCACAGTTCCTTCTACCTTTAGTCAGCATTCAGTCTAAGCTGGAAAAACACAGGAGAAGGTAACACTCTCATTTGCAGTCGGGAATAAGAGTTAAAAGGCTGACAGCTTGAATGTTGTTTAACGATCCCTTCTGATTTATATGTGAAATATTATGTGGTCAAACAGCAGGTTTTGAACAAGATTTGGCAAAAATTGTCAGGAAACTATACTTAGGCACTTTAACACCCCAAACTGGGTTTATACAACAATTCAAGATGCTAAAGATAAACACTTCTGTATTGTATTTATAATAAATAATATTGTATAAAAGATTTAAAGCCCCCTGTGAAATTAATAACCCCAAATCTGATCATCTTTACCTGCTGGTGTATTGAAAATTTTACTCGCCCTGTTGTAACAATAACGTCAAAGCACAATTTGAGTCCCTTTTAAGGCTGTAGAGTAGCCAGCAGTGTTATCGGTTGAACATTTATTAATTGTGGCAGGAACACCGAATTTATTTCAGTGCTTTAGCTTATTTACTGCTCTTTCACCTTTGTATTTTGTATTGACACAGTAAAATGAATATTGATAAGGTTAGGTATTGATTTTTAAATGTATGGCTTGTTCTCTGCCTCATTCAAAGTCACATACCAAAAGATAGTGGATGTCTCAGTAGCAAAGGCTGTAGACTTACTATTATAAAACCAAGAACTGTTGAAGCAATAAGGTTTGCCAGGAGAATGCATTTTATAGTTTGAAAAATGTCATCTGTAAAGGTGAAGAAAAGCAGTGAGCAAAAATAGGAGGAATATTATCAACACATTTTTTAAAGGCCGTCAGCAATGTTGGTTATGGTCTTGTGTTTTTGGTAGAAGTCATAGCTTATTGAGGATTTGATAGTAAAAAGATTTAAATATGTTTATTGAGATATTGTGGCTACCACATTTTTTAAAAAATATTTTGTCCACTATGTAGTAATAAATTCATTGTTACCCACAGTTAGTATTTGCTGTTGCTATTTTGCTTTCATTGAAATATTTTCATAGGGAAAATATGCATCATAACTAGTGGACCATTTTTCTCTACATTTTAAATTATGCAGAGAGATGCCGACTGAAGGTCAGTATTTCGGTATATACATTGCTCCAGGGTCACTGTGCCTTCATGACGTGTAAGTTCTTGGCAAGAGGTTGCATTACAGCTTTCTGTGACTTTTCTGTTCTTTCCTCTGCTTCCTACTAATATTTCAATAATAAAATAATCTTTAGGAATATATAAAGTAATAAAGGCAGGTTGCAAATTATAACAGGTGAAGATTTTTAAAAGGTGCTTTTTTAATTGAAGTTTAATTAATTTACAATGTTGTGTTAGTTTCTGGTGGGTATATAGCATAGTGATTCAGTTATACATATATATTTATTTTTTTCACATTCTTTTTCATTATAGGTTATTATAAGATATTGAACGTAGTTCTCTGTGCTGTACAGTAGGACCTTATTGCTCATCTATTTTATATATAGTCGTGTGGCTAATCCAGAATTCCTAATTTATCCCTCTCCCTCTTCCCCTTTGGCAACCATAAGTTTGTTTTCTATGCCTATGTGTCTCTTTCTGTTTTATAAATAAGTTTATGTATATCTTTTTTTAATTTAGATTCCACATGTAAGTGATATCATATACTTGTCTTTCTCTGTTTTACTTAGTTCACTTAGCATAATGCCCACTTAGTCCTTCCATGTTGCTGCAAATAGCAAAGTTTTGTTCTTTTTTATGGCTGAGTAGTATTCCTGTGTGTGTGTGTGTGTGTGTGTGTGTGTGTGTGTGTGTATGTGTGTTTATACACACCACATCTTCTTTATCCAGTCATCTGTCAGTGGACATTTAGCTTGCTTCCACGTCTTGGCTATTTAAATAGTGCTGCTATGAACATTGGGGTGCATGTATCTTTTTAAATTAAAGTTTTCTTAGGATATATGCCCAGGAGTAGGATTGCTGGATCCTATGGTAATTCTATTTTTAGTTTTTTAAGTAATCACCATACTGTTCTCCATAGTGGCTGCACCAAATTACATTCCCACCAATAGTGTAGGAGGGTTCCCTTTTCTCCGCACCCTCTCCAGCATTTATTGTTTGTGGACTTTTGAATGACGGCCATTCTGACTGGTGTGAGGTGATACTTCACTGTAGTTTTGATTTGCATTTCTCTGATAATTAGTGATA